AGATAGATCGATAGATCGATAGATAGATAACCATTTGAGAAACTCCGTGCTATCTTCCATCAGCATGGCTGAAGTTAGATAAAGATAATTTTAGAGTGTTGTCTACTCCCTTATGCTGAAATCCTGCAAATCGACCCCATTTTTATGCAGGGTAATGCTCCCTGTCACAAATCAAAATTGACGAAGGAATACTTTGATGAGAAGCAGGTGAGTGTTATGACATGGCCGCCCCAATCTCCTGACCTCAACCTTATAGAAAATTTATGGAGCATTATAAAGTACAGGCTCTCGAGTAAGCAGTTGAGCAACATGCACCGTAAGATTTCTAACTCCAGTACCATAGCGACGGTATTCAAACGATTACCATGGAAGTATTTATAGAAAACACTTACTATCTGAGCTGCCAGATAAGGTCGAATAATATTGCAGAAACTTCTTTGGAGCTTATCAAAGAGTTCAACGTAGATAGCAGGAGCACAGTGCTATATGCATCAACAATATCCTAAGCATGGACGAAAGATAGACTTATAGATATTTAAGATAGATTCTGGAGAGAAACATTGTCTCGCCAGACATTGTAAACAGACATTCATAGCAGTAGACCTAGACATAGAATCAATATATCTCAGCAGAAGGCGTAACAGGCGAATTTTCTGGAGGATAGTATTAGCCATGCTGATGGAAGGCAGAAAGGGTTTTCTCAGATGATTATCTATCTATCGATCTAAGATCTCTTCATGATCTAGCTCTAACATCTAATGGACATGTCTAAATCTGTTTGATCAAAAGGTATCTTGACTAGTGCTATGAAAAGAAAACTACGACACATATCAATTAGGCATTTAATCTCCTTCGTAGTAGTCCACTTCTGAAGCCACATATATTCTTCAGCGTCGTTTTCGTTTATGGAAGCATTCCTGGAATACCTTTTTGTGTGTAGCGAGCAGCTACCTCGTCGCAGCCTCTTGAATTTCTTCGACGTCTTGAAATTCTGATTTTCGATGGGAAAAACGTCGTAGGGCACGAGATTAAGGAATGTGGTGGTTGTTGGTTCTGGGGAATGTTGCTTGGCCAAAAACGGCTTCAGAACAGATTGTGAAACTGTTTTACACTCTCTGCGATCGTCAGAAATATATATATATATATATATAGATATATATATATATATATGTGTGTGTGTGTGTGTGTGTGTGTGTGTGTCTGTGTTTCTGTGTGTGAGGCAGATACAGAATATATATATATAGACAGAGAGAGAGAGAGAGAATGAGAGAGAGAAATAGAATACGTATACATTGACTTGAGTTTGTGACCAGGGTTTCACGCTTTCTGCGATCGTCAGACACACACACACACACACACACACACACACACACAAACACACACACACATATATATATATATATATATATGCGTGGGTGTGGGTGTGTCTGTGTGTGTCTCTGTGTGCGCTCACGCGCATGTGTGTGTGTGAGAGAGAGTGAGAGGCAGAAAAAGTTTGAAAGACAGAAAGTGAGTGAACTTGAGAGAGAAAGTGATTGTGGAACTTTGTTTCTCAACAATCATTATGAATTATGAAACTCCTCGGTCTGACTGAATAACAATATACCAAACATCAAGTTATTGCCGCGGCTAACTGACCACATTTTATCACCCCTGGGACACAATATTATGTGTATTGTATCTAATTTATACTTCCCCGTATATCTATTTACACTTGCAACGATAAGGGTAAATGTCAATAAAACAAAACCGTGATAAAAAAAAAGAAAAAAAAAAGACGAGCAAAAGCGGAACTAAACATAATTTAAAAAGTTGGTTGTATCACACACACACACACACACACATATTTATACATATATATATATATATATATATATATATATATATATATATATATATATATATGTACGCTAAAATTATTTGATAATACGTATGGATAATTACAAAGAGGATATAGATCGAAAGATCTGAGCAAATGATATTTAAGTAAGCGGAGATTTTAGAAAACGTATATATATATATATATATATATATATATATATATATATATATATATATATATATATATATATATATATATATAACATTTATTCGAAAATTGTATTAGAAAGAAAAGTGATGGTGCTGAATGTAGAAAAAGTGTAACTCTTTATTCTAAATCCAACACCATCACTTGATATGTCACCAGAAGTGTTGGAACGAAATGACGATATTTTAATGATTTCATAACATATTCACGCTTATAATTTTCGAATACATTATATTTGTTCCACTCTGAAATTATGTTTGCTTATTGAATTTTGTTTATTCCGTATATACTGATCCTATACTTGGGAATATATATATATATATATATATATATATATATATATATATATATATATATATAAGGTCAGCCCATCAAACAGTGGTCACATCTCACAATCCTCAGACTTGCTCCATATGTAGCCTCCTTTGTACATCACTAGTGAATCTTAAATGACAGTTGAGATTATCGCACAAAATTTCATAACTGAATCAAGGAAACTGTCAGATCCTCATACGTCAAAACCGAGGGGAGAGTCCATTGTGTGTGTATATATATATATATATATATATATATATATATATATATATATATATATATATATATATATACGGATGTGTGTATATATATATATATATATATATATATATATATATATATATATATATATATATATATATATATATATAGATGTGTGTATATATATATATATATATATATATATGTGTGTGTGTGTGTGTATATAAATATATATATATATATATATATATATATATATATATATATATATATATATATATATATATATATATATATATATATATATATATTATTTACATATTATATGGGCGGTACTTATTAGAAGCGCTCAATATCAGAGATAATGCTAGCATGTTTGGTTGTATAGATGTGAGTTTTTGACCCTGGGTTTCACGCTTTAGCGATCGTCAGACAAACTGATTAATTTTTAAAAATTTTGTGTTTATGTAGATTGCGTGTATTGGTGTTATTATGGAAGTGGTGGGGGAAATGTCCACGTTGTGTCATCGTACTGACGCATGCTCACACGTCCAATTAAACATAATTTATAAATTCATGAATCATTCATACAAAAAACAAATATATATATATATATTTGTTTTTTGTATGAATGATTCATGAATTTATAAAGTTGATGTATCTTATATTGTTTGCGACGAAGTATTCTCGTCATTTAATTCATTAACATCTATATTTGTTTTTTGTATGAATGATCCATGAATTTATGAATTATATTTACTCGTTTTAATTGATATATATATATATATATATATATATATATATATATATATATATATATATATATACTAGCAGCGTGGACCGGCGTTGCCCGTGCTTTATTCAAAAAACGTACGAATCAGACAGCAATCGCTATCACTTGACTAAAAATATTTTTACCCTTCCTTGCCGTTAAAGGAGTGCCCTTTGCCGTGCTGATGTTGCTACATGCCTTACTGCTTGCCTATCTCACACTGCCAATTTTTTAGCTCTATACTAAACATTAAATCTGTTACGAAAAAGAACTAAACAAAATGAACACAAAACGATCAGCTTTAAAAAAGGACTCGTAACTGGAAAAACCGAATGAAAAAAGAATGTTAACAACAAATACTCTTTCACACCCAACCCAGTTTTGCAGAATCAGAATCAACATTGAGCTTACGCAAGCGAATGAGCCAATTGGAGTCAAGTGCCATGCAGATTTAAATTTTTCCCACTTGTGACGAATGCAGCTATCGATTTTTCTTTGCATGCTAGCATGCTAGTTAACATTCGTGCCAGTCAGCTATTGGCTCTCACGCGGGCCAGTAGAATCTTTCTACCTATTCCTGGCAGCCAGCTATAGGATCTCACTCTGGCCAGAAGAAAATGGCAGCAAATTACATGAAAACTGCCGTAGAAGCATGAAAAAATCGATCATTTCCACTTTCGATGTGAGTTGGGTTATGCAAAGTCAGTCATGGCTTTTCTCTCAAACTTGGACCATGTGCATGTAAATTTTGGTGCAAATCCGTCGAAAATTGCGGCCGTGTATTCGATACACACACACACACACACACACACACACACAGCACACACACACACACACACACACAGCACACACACACACACACACACACACACACACACACACACACACACACACACACACACACCCTGCCTTTTATAGATAGTGGTCCAGTTTCTGATAGCACTAACGCTTGGCTATCTAACAAGTACCAAATTGTTTGCAAGACTGTCAAAGCCGCTTGACCAGGGAACCATAAACGGGGGTACCAAGGTACAGGATGTAGCCTTATGAACACACACTCACTGGCACAGTATGTACAGTTTTGGTTTGATTCAGAGCCTTAGAAAGCCCTGCAAAGACCACTGTTCGTCGCGTTAGAAATTCTTAGAAAATGAACAGAGGATGTACTTCACCGAACAAAACGCCCAGCAGGTTGCGGAAAACCCTAAAGACACAACCCTAACGGCTTCCTTTAAATTATGCTCAACAGATGCTTTTACCAAAACATTGATATACCCCTAAGTCCCGTCCTACTACGTGTTGTCAAACAACCGGTGGGTTCGGCGAAAGGCTGGTGACCCTGTCGAGGGTTATCCCGATGTAAGGTCTAACTCTTGCCTTGGATGCGTTTATACTGTGCCCTCCAGCCAGCAGGAGTGCTTTTACCTCCGCCTTCTACTTCATGAAATTGCTGGGCCAATGAGTTTCACAGATATTCGCACTGTCAACGGCATAGAGTGCCAGTCTTATAGAGAGGCATGCTTCCGTTTGGGATTGCTTGAAGACGACTCCCAATGGGATGCAGCCATGGCGGAGGGTGAACTTCTCAGAATGCCATCACGGCTTCAAACGCTGTTCACTATTTTGCTTTGGCGATGCGAACTAAGCGATCTTCTGTCGCTCTGGCTAAAGTACAGAGAATCCATGTCAGATGATGTGCTGTTCTGCGTTCACCGTAACTGCCCTGGAGTTGAATGCGGTTTCACTGACTTCATATTCAACAGAGCGCTGGTGGCCCTAGATGATGTTTTCGAACTGGGAGGTGCCTCTTTACCAACTTACGGTTTACCATCACAGCTCAGAGACGGTTTTGTCACTGTACCAACTAAGTTATTGCGGGAAACACCGTGGGGCTGAACGCATACATTACCGAAGACGAGCCCAATAGAACAGCTTGCCACCACTGTTAAATCACCGGATGAATTGATGAATGCAGTCTTCTACAACCTATCCACTAATTTTGCCGATGCCGATTGGCTTGCTGGGAGGGCCATATTGCCACCGAAGAAATGTACAGTTGATTCCATCAACCTTAAACGTTTGGATTTCATTTCCGGGTAATGTCATGTTTATAAGTCCATCGACAGAACTTCCGATCCATCTGAATTAGCTGAGTATCCCATAGAAGTTTTGAACTCCCTTCAGCCGCCCGGACTCCCACCTCATATTCTTCGGCTCAAAGTTGGTGCTCCGATTATTCTGATCAGGAATTTGCTCCCAACTAAACAGTGCAACGTGACTCGCCTCATTATTAAATCCCTTTCTCCGAACCTGATTGAGGCGACAATTGCAACTGGCTGCGGCAAGGGTGATGTCGTTCTGATTCCCAGGATGCATCTTCTGCCGTCAGACATAAGCATACCAATCAACTTTCGTCGCTCACAATTTCCCGTGACGCTTTGCCTTGTAATGTCCATTAACAAATCACAAGGATAGGCGCTTAGTATCGCAGGTCTGCATTTACGTGAGCAGTGCTTCTCTCATGGCCAACTTTACGTTGGGTGCTCACGAGTTGGGTCTAAGGACAGGGTTTTCATTTACTCTCCCAACAACTGTGCTAGAAACATAACCTACACGGAGGTCCTGTAGACAACCCGCCCGGTAGCGTTTAAGCACCATGCACACATATGCAGTCCGATTGCATGGCAAATCTTTTGTTTGCCATATTGGTTTTAACGTTAGGTCGTCGTAGTCTCCACTTGCTATTAGTAAGACATCTTTGTAAAGGTTATCCAGCTCTTTTGCTGCCTTCTGACTTTCATATGTTCACCCACCATCATCGCGTTTGTTTGTACACTATGATAACCTCACCGTATTCAGTTGCAACACAAGCTGCTAGACACATGAACACCGGCATTAGACATGATTGCTCCACTAAAGTTCCGGTTTCATTAACAGTTGATCGGAGCACCTGCAGTTCGTACCAGTGCATTCACACTTGAGAAGCTTCGAAGTTCGTTTAATTGTCACAAAAGTCGAGTGTGTCTACGACATTCAGGCTTCTGCTTCAATATACATTTTACAGCTGCCTTGGGTGAAACATGTCAGCCATACGACTCTATTGTTTTGTTTGTAATCGTGTAAAACAACCTAAAAACACACGCTAAGTACGGCAACCCCGGTCGGTTTACATGAGCTCTCAGTCGTGATGTTGACTGCGACTGAAGAGAAGGCACTTTTTTATTGCAAGTGAGGCACTCGGCCGTACGGCGACCCCGGTCCGGTTCTATAATTCTCAGCGTGATGTTGACTGCGACTGAATTGATGGCACTTCTCCATTGCAATTACGATGCTCGGCGTTGCAGCTACCCACGTTGCGGTTTAAGGGCTCTCAGCCGCGATGTAGATAGTGACAGATCAGAATAAAGAAAGTTATATCACAGAAATTTTCTTACCATGACACCCCGTCACTGTTTGCTCTTCTCTCGGTTTTACGGTTCTGCTTTGTGGTCGTGACAGCGCCGTCTTTTGGGCATAAGACGCGTCTTTTAGTTATACAAGCGGTTTGTTTGTGATTGCGCACAGCACATATTTTATGTCTATGGCTTCCTCACGGAACGTTTTCCGTTCAATCCCTATATATGTTGCAATTGTATCGTGCTTTCTTGACTACTTACCACAAGTGCTTCCAATAATGCTTAACGGTCCAATTGGGTAAAGCAGTAACTGCTGCCAGCTTTTACTCACAGATGCCTTAGTAATGGCAAATGACTGATACTACAACGGCTTTCCGTTACTTCTTTCGATACCTTCGAATACTTGGGCCTGCATGATGTCTGCTTAAACTTTGTGTGCATTGCGTTTAAACGTTTTATAGAAACTTAGTTCCTGTCGACGTACAAAGAACATCTTTCAAAGCAACAGCCGTCCCCAACTCTTACTGTTACATCCCCGGGCAAGGCCGGGCTCTACTGGTCGTATTGTTGTCAACATAAATATATATATATATATATATATATATATATATATATATATATATATATATATATATATATATATATATATAGATGGAAAACTATGAATGAGGGTTTCAGAATTGAAATGTTTAAAGAACTAAATTCTCTGTACTTTGCAATACACACTTTCTGCACCATGCATTGCACTGATGCACTCTATGCTACAGTTGAGATGACACTTCAATTGCACGCTTTCTTAGAAAATGGTAGACCTTTTCTTTTCTTTGTTGCATATTGGCCGTTGGCTCCGGTATGATCATGTTCCATTTTCAGTCTCATATCTGAGTAGATATTCTGTTTTTATATATATAGATTTTTAAACACTATATTTATTTGCATCTAACCAGCTTGAATATTCGAAATATATAGTTTTTACAAATATATGGGTTCTCCAAAAGAAGACAAACGTGCTTTCATCTATCGGCTATGCAGGAAATTCTAACCACTTATGTCGGTATAGTGATTTTGGACACATATCTTTCCAATTCTTGAAATATTCATATCTGCTCTGTATTTTATCCTAAACTAAAAAATACATTGTTTTAGAAAATGGATTAAAACCGAATATATTGTTTAATAAATAAATAAATAAATTCACTGCATATACATAAATGAGTATCCATTAGAATAACGTTTAAAAAATAGTATATATATATATATATATATATATATATATATATATATATATGTGTGTGTGTGTGTGTGTGTTTGTGTGCGTGTGTGTGTGAGTCTAATATAAATAGTTCAAACACTATTATTTCATGGTTATAATTTATTACATTGGAATCCTAATCACTAGCCAATTCTTCAGACCTATATATATATATATATATATATATATATATATATATATATATATATTTTATATATTTATATAGCTATACTCGTTTCGAAAAACCCACGAACTTTTGATTTGGCAATAATCAAATCAATCTCGAGGGAAAAAAAGGTTTTAAAAAAAGAAAGAGCTGGAAACATGAAAATATGTCGAAAAAAATCGCACAGATACAGGTTTGAAGCCCAAAGAAAAAACCCCGACACGAGTAAACAACTAACTAACAAAAGAGCTCAATACAACCGTAGAGCAGACCTAGATAAACCTAGTGAGCTAGAGAAACCTACCCAGGTTTCACCTAAACGGATCGTCAGGGAAATGGCTTTCCTGACGATCTGTTTAGGTGAATCCTGGGTAGGTTTGTCTGGTTCACTAGGTTTTTATATATATATATATAACAAATCCGTTGGTATATAATCCAAGTGGATCTCACTAATATAAAACATTAGAACTGTTCTACAAAAAAAGCTCATTATATTTATTCATTCATGGCAATATAATAATTAATCAATAAAATCCCCAATTACCTCATAAGTGAAATAGCCTATTCCGATAGACGAAGATATCGGTCGTCTGTTTTATCAACCCCGGTTTTGTTAAACATAAGACCGATTCCTTCGTTTACCGAAGTAGGCTATTACCCTATGAGTTAAAAACCCTAATTAACTCATAGGGGAATAGCCTATTTCGGTAATCGAAGGAATCGGTCTTATGTTTAACAAAACATATTATACTTATTGTTTAGTATATATATATATATATATATATATATATATATATATATATATATATATTCTTTGTGATGTGTGCTTTTTGAACCTTGACGATCATGGCTCTCCACAATTTCCTGGTCTTTGTAGCTTTTAATATATTATATCTTTTTCTTATTCATCCCAAACCGTGTTCCAACATCCATTTTTTTTCAAGCTTCTCTGTCCATTTTCCCTTCAAACTTTCCTTTAAATATCATATTTCGCAAGCCAATCTTTTTAGTATCAGATTTTCGCAATCCTTCATTATGTGCCCTTGAAATTTCAACTTTTACTTTTGATGTCAAGTTTAACAGTCCTTTATGTTTCATTTCCTCTGAAACTTAGTCGTTGCAGATATGTTAGGTCAATTTCTTTCTCATCACGTTTCTGTCGTTTCAATAGTCTTCATCTTTCTGGAAATTGTCGAACATTCAATGCCATATATGTTGACTCTTTGGACGTAAAATATCGCTACTTCTGTCTTTGTTTTTAACCATTTTTTTTTCTGTTTCTTAAGATATCAATCTCTTATGTGTCATGCGTGATACACGCTTAGGCGATCATGTATCTTTCGATACATGACTGACGAGACAGTTTTTTTTCCTGCAGTAGGTTGCCATTTCTTTCTACGGTAGAAACAATCTAAGGCTATAGAGCCAATGTAAATTATACAGATTTACTAATAATGTTTTTTATGCTTCAATTTGTATTTTTCAACCCATTAATAAACTCAGAAAAGATACATCGTCTATTGAAAAAATACTCAAATATTCCCAACAAAATATTAGTCCAGGAAACATGATTTAATCCTTCACTACATAGGACTACATTTATTTTAGAGGACTCCCCTTCAGTCCCTCTCTTCGCACTTTCTTTTTGCCTCTCAATTGCTCAGTTTGAATTTCTAGAGCCAGTTCCACAATCGTGAAGATAGGATTGAAAAAAAGAATATTTGGATTTAAAATTTGCTTTCCAGGGGCCAATTTGTCATCAACAGATCTGTAGGTTACGAAACAATTTAACCTAAACTACAAGCAACTGACTCCGGGTTTTGCAGGTGCGCTAAGCTAAGAGTGAGTCATGTAATAGATAAAAGTCCGGGATAGGAAATTGGATAACCGGGTACCTATTCCTGTTTGGGTCTTTATATTCACATACCCGAAATTACCCTTGAAAAACATAAGAATCCATCCCTCTTCTCCAAGCCCCAGGAATTAATGCAGGAATTAATAAGACTTGTATCAGTAAATCCCAGCCTCAAAATAATATTCTTACTATCTAAAAATGATTTCGGTCTTTAAGTAACTCACGAAAGATTGATAAGCCATGAAAATATCAATCGATTATTCAATCAACTGACTTTATCAAAGCGCCCCCCTTTATTCCCCCTCTTTTGTCGCACATATTGTCGCTTCGTTTTTTCTCTCTCTTTGTGATTTACGCTCTATACCCCTCTCTCTTACTGTTTCAATTTGAACCATTAACACAGTGTTGCTTTAATAGATTTTAATTAGAAGAAGACAATTTGTTTTTATTGCATCAGAAAATTGTCATAACAATGAAAGTAATATTTTAATTTCAAAAGGTACCTTGCAATTGCAACAGATCATGATGTCACGAAAAGAAAAAGAAAATAATGTAACCGCACACTTCAAACAACTGCCTTTATAAAATATGATAATGTGTCTTTTTGACGGACTCTTTTTTTAAACTCTTTATATTTGTCTGTCTATCAGTCTCTCTTTATATTTTTCTCATTATGTCCATCACTCTTTCTGTTTCTTATCTACTATCTGTGAGACCAAGAACGACATACATTATATAGAGGTATTAGGTTTGTGCAAAAATAATGACGTAATAATATCGTTTTGGGACCTTAAAAAAAATACGTCAAAAACGACATTATTACGTCATTATTTTTGCACCAACCTAATACAATATAGATTTTCTCTAACCATTTAATCATCTAACTTGGGCTTTATACATGAAAAAAACCATCGTTAAAATTTCTTATTAATGAGGGCAGGATGCTTATCAATCAATATTTTTATAGACACGTTGAAATGTGTATTTTTAAATCTCTAAATGCAAATACCACAAAGATCCCATTGCAAGCACAAAGCCCATCTCTCTTTCATCGATATTAGATTTATTTGGCCATTGCTGAGATATATATTTCCTGATCCAGGGCCTCGCGCGTTCAACATTGTTGAAATTAACTCATTTTACATAAACTGAAATGATGACTAGGACGATACGCAAAAGCCAAAATGATTAATGGCAAGTGCAACATTAGCTTTTTCCTTATTAAGAAATATTCAGCATTCATACGCCAAATAGTCAAAGTTACATTCGATTGAAATTCACAAAATCATGCTCTTGAAGTAATCTTTCAGGAAAATAAGTTTCTCAAGTCCAATAGATTTTATCGTACTTTCCATTACTGATGGGTTTTTTCCTTCATAACATTTTGTCTGAAGTAGTGTGCAACGTCGACATTTTGATTATGTCATCCATCCCTCTGATTGGTATATGCGATATTCTTTTCAGTTGTGGTCATTGTTCTGTTATTTGGCACAGATCTTTATCTGTGATTCTGTAACATCATTTCAAATAGAATAGCCCTAGCGAAGATGTACATGCTTAATTCATTCTTTTTTAATAAGTTTTCGGAGAAAGATTCGATGTTTATGAACAGATTCATCTGTACAAACGCCATCTATATCGAAAACTCTAGTTAACGAAACTATTTCAGTTAATGACTCGAATTTTCGTTTAATGTTTTGGCGATATAGCAACTAACCGTGTGTTGTGAAGCTACCATAGCCCATCTTTGTTCATTTTCTTTATTTTCTCTATATTAACCAATCCATATATTGAGATATTGAATTGTTTTTAATATTTATTAATTCCATATCCTGAATCTTTTTATGATGGATACACGGTAGAGGGTTATCAGTTTTTCATTCCAATTCGAAATTATGGTTTCTCTTTTACTAACGTTTATCCTTGATACTATATCTTGGAAATTCGGTAGAGTTTTTGTTTTTCTTCAAGATTATTATTACAATATAACTATTTGCGACATTGTCATAATCCTACATCAACGTCAGTACACTTTACACGGGAATGAAAGCAGGAATGATGTTTTCAATTAGTGGATTCATTTGCGATGTAGTATGGGTCGCTTCAAGGATTAGAGTCCATTTCTTTCCGTCTAGTCGTCTGTGTCTCAAACTAATAATTTTAACTTTGCATCACAAATCCAAAAACAATGGGAAAATGTATTATCTATATTTTTAATAGGTATATATAATAAAAGCTGAAATTCGAACGATGTATTTTTAATAAAATTATATCCTTAAAATTTTATCAGCATCGTTTGGATAATACAATTCTCACTGGAACAACCGATTCTCATAAAAGAATCTGACATCGATCATCTATATTTCGAAGGTACAGGCATATAGATATATATGCAAAAAGAATATGGATCAATTTTGAGCCACCTTATCTGCCATCACGAACAAAAGCCAAGTGTCTGTCGGATTTGCCATAACCTATTGCTCGGTAGCTAAACGAATGCTTGTATAAAGGGAAAGGCTATAATTCGAGTGTCTACAAAGATGACTATCAGATTGGCCACTATACACAATATGTCAAACGTTAGTGGGCCCCACCCTATACGTGCAGTCAAAAGCCTTGGTTTTATCATCGAATCTTCTTCACCCTTTCCTTGATTTATTATATCTTGTTCTTGATAAATAGTTTTCTTCATTCATTCCTTTCACTTGTTATTCTTACTTGATTTCAATATTTCGTTCTTTCTCTTTCCCTTCGAATTTTACCTACACATTTTTATTTTCGTTGCGATCGTCCCTTTCTTTCTATTCAAAATTATGCTTTCATTCTTTTTCTTTCTTTCTTTCTTTCTTTCTTTCTTTCTTTCTTTCTTTCTTTCTTTCTTTCTTTGTTACATTTTCGTTTTTTGCTTAGTTTTTTTTTCTTTCTATCACTTATCTTTCTTTTTTTTCCATTTTCGTTCTTTTTCTTGGTTTTATCCCTCTCTCTCTTTCTTTATTTTTTCTTTGTTGCATTTTCGTTCATTTTCTTAGATTTTTTTCATTCCACGTTAAATTTTCCTTCTTTTCTTTGCCTTTCTTTTTCGATTTTCCATCTTTGTCTTAGTTTTTTCTCTACGCTTTCTTTTTCAGTGTTACATCTTACTTCTTTTCCTTAGCTTTCTTTCTTTCTTTCTTTATTTCTTTTTCCATGTTACATTTTCATTCTTTTGCTTGGCTTTTTTCTTTGCCTTCGCTTTCTTTATTCAGTGTTACATTTTCGTTCTTTTGCTTATCCTCCTTTCTTTCTTTCTTTCTTTCTTTCTTTCTTTCTTTCTTTTTCTTTCCATGTTTCATTTCAGTTCTTTCTTTCTTTTTTTTCTACCATGTTACATTTACGTTCTTTTACTTGCTTTCTTTCTTTCTTTTTTCTCTCTTTGCTTTTTTTTTTTTTTTTCATTTCTATTCTTTTACTTTGGCTTTCCATCTTTCTGTCTTTCTTTCCGTTGGCATTATTTTACCCGTGTTATATTTCCGTTCTTTTGTACGGCTTTTTCTTTCTTCCTTTTTTTTTTGGCAATCTGTGTTACATTTTCGTTCTTTCAGTCCTTTTTTTACTTTCTTTCTCATTCCATATTTCACTTTTTGTTCTTTTTTTTTCTTTCTTTTGTTTTTTTTTTCCTTGGGTTTTAATGATTATTTTTCGTTATACCTTTCATTAGTATTTTTGTAGTGCTCGCTTGTCTTCTTATATGAATTAATTAACTTTTCGTCCTTCTGTTTATCCGAGATTTTTCATAGTTTCTTTCTCAGTTTTAATAAAATCTTTTCTTTATTTATTTCTAATTTTAAATCCATTTACACTTGTTATAGTTCTTTTCCTTTATCCGTTTCTAGTTTTCTCCTCCATTTCTGACCCTCCACCCGAACTACCTCCCCACCAATATGTGCGCGTGCACGTGTCTCTAATACTTATCTCTCATTTCTCCTCGTATGGCTTCTGCTATATTTTCTTATGACTGGCTCCTTTTCAAATCGAAATGACTGCGACGGTTTTCCCAGGATGCAATAACTCATTCTTCCTGGCACAACCGGAATTACATCCCAAAGTCCTCTTGAATTATGGCGCATCATAGCTCTCAAAAATATGAATGCCTTCATTGACTTTTCCCGTTTATCAGCGACATCTTCGCTTGATTCTAAACTCTGCAGCGAAACAACTTCGGTAGCTATTTGGAGATAGAATAGACCGGCATATTTGGCCCTATATACGTATGGTGTAACAGGTACAAGGTCGATAAAAACGAGCCTATTCTTCGAATGCTATTGATTTCTTTCTGAACATCATGCCTGTCAGTTGATTAATGATGTTTGGCGAATCATCTTTGTCAATTCTATTGCAACTGAAAACATTCCAACAATATCAACTCCAAGAAACCACGTGCCTAACAAACGATTTCTAAGTTAGCAATGTTTAATAGTAAGAAATGTATATATATATATATATATATATATATATATATATATATATATATATATATATATATATATATATAAACTTGTTTTCTGATTTAAGTTGCTTTGGTCCGGACAATAAATCAAGTCTTGAAAACAAGAAATGAATGAAACTGATTCGAATGTTTCTCATATTTCCTTCATTTTTCAATATTTCTGTACAGTATGTTTTTGATATTTTATTGTTGTTTTTCTTTGTGTTGATAGTTTAATAACCGTTAAGATAAAATTTGAGTTAATTTTACCCTTTTGAATTTATTTTAGATCAAGCCTATATAAAACACTATGCTGTATAAATTCGAAAAGGATCTTCAATGACAGAATCAGATACAAAATTACGTTCTGTCCATGGAAATACACTTCCAAGTTCTCGAAAATGCTAACGCTATTTTGCCATTTCCACTAGACTTAAGTCTTAAGAGCATTTCTTAACTAGCCCAGTGAGTTTCTCTTAAATTTCTCCCAATTCGTCATTGACGAGTTTACTTGTAAGCGAACCATTCCTGGGTATAATCGTCTTCCATGATGAAAATTGGGTTCTTTAGTTCCATATAAAATGAAAAAAAGACTATAATTGATAGAGTAATTAATATTTTACGGATTATCAATATATTACTGGTTATTCTAAGACAATAAATATTTCTTAGATTGTAATAACATATTAGAGATAATAATGATTTCGTAAAAAAGTCCTGCTAATTAACCCATAGCTTGGGACAGAAGAATTATGCTCTCTAGAATTTATTTTACAAACCTACAAGTCTGTCATTCTTCATTATTTATAATATGGCTCTCACATGTAGAAAGTTGCTCTTGATATATATATCTAGATATCTTTGTGAAAATCCAAAGAAGAATCAGCAATATTATTGTTCCTGATCTGGCGTCTCGACTTCAGTCATTTTCCTACCGTCGAAAAGTTGCCCTCTTGTGCCTTTCTATAAATAATTCAATAGAAAATTTTCAGATGAGCTCTTCACTATGCGGAGTACTAGACTGGCGATGAGATCTCATTTTAAGTTCTATGCTAACAGTTTATTTTCTCCCACTTCACGAACATGCATTCCAGTAAAGTTTAATCTTTAAAAAATTCGATGCAATGTCAATAGCCACCTGTCCTCCTGTCTACTCATTTTTCTTCTCGATTCTCAGCAATGCTTCTGTTTTCAAATTCTTTCACACCGATTAAAACATTGTTTCTTAATGGCTTTGATGCATATGGGTTAACAGTATATATATATATATATATATATATATATATATATATATATATATATATATATATATACAGCATATTTATATGGTCGGTACTCCACTATGCAAATTAGGTGGATCCTGCCACAACACTTATCTAGGTTTCACCTAAACGAACCTTCAGGGTAAGCTGGCTAAAGAGGAAATGGCATGAAACAGTATTTATTGATAAAACCACTAAAATTATAAGCATAAAACCTCCTAACGGAAGATGATAGAGAAAAAACCAGGGCCTCAATTCCAATAACCAGAATTTCCTATGCCTAAACCTATTTAAAATCTCAGATATTCAATTCAATAAATTATTATGTTTCATCCATAAATAATAAGCAATACTTGTTCCCCCTGTCCAACGATCATTGGGAGCGTGTCGACATTTTCCGTCAGTTACTGGTGGATTCTTCGCGCTTAGTCTTAATAGGGGACTGGAATGCCATCCTGGACCTCAAGATATAAAGGAGGCGGGGTGCTAGCGAGAAGGCAACGGTTGATTGTAGCTTGGTTGATCTGATCGTATAATTTGGGCTCGTCGATACCGGGCCGATTATTCGGGGCAGGAGGTGTAGACGTGGGACCGTGATCGGTCGTCTCTCCAGGTAGCCAGCGACCTGAAAAGAATGTTAATCAGAAGGGTCGATCTAGATTTACTAGACTGTCCCACGTTCCACCGTTTAGACAATTCGGATCATAGACTTGTCCGTGCACAGATGGTGTTAGGCAGTAGGCCTAGAATAGATGGACACTGGATGTTCAATCTGTCCTTACTGGACATGCAGGTCTTTCAGCAAAAGATGATTAGATTAGTGCAGCAGGAATTAGTGGGGGCGGTTATTGGAAACAGGTGGTGGGAGAAGCTTAGGGATAGGATTAGTTGTTCACTACTGAATATAGCCAACGACTGACTCTAGATAAGGTTAAAAAGGTGATGACTCTAGAGGATAGTTTGTCCTAGGCGGCTGGGGGAGATTCCCTAGAGATAGACGTAGCTAGTCCTGCCTTGAAGCACGAGGCTAGCAAGCCCTATCAGGGTCAGGTAGTTAGACATATGATAAACAAGATGTCTAAAGAAGCTGTGAACATGGGCACAGAATTGATCAAGGAAGAGTTCCATCGAGGTTTCGTGAAGTTATTACCCCGGAGTAGCGTACTCTGAGGTCGACCAAAGACATGTGCGTTGACATTTCGAGAGCCGTTTTATAAAAGAGCCTGGTCTCAGTGGCGACGATTTTCGCAGCTCTTTGGCTTACATTCCCTGGCTTTCGCCAGCTGAAGCAGCTACCTTCGAGGGTGAGATCACAGAGGGTGAAGTTTACTTGGCATTGAAGAAGGTCGGCAGGGACTTGATGGTTTGCCTTACGAAATGTACTTGAGGCTGTCGCACATCTTTGTCCCGATTTTGGCAGGGGTCTACCGTATTTGAACCCGACATCTGCAAGTGAATCAGCCTCCTGCATCGCTCCCCAAGTGCTGTGATACAGGTGAATGGGAAGCTTGTGCTTTGGTGTGATCCCGTTCTTCGCCGGCTGAGGGACAGGCCTGCAGTACGGCTCTACATGGAATCACTGCGTAACGAGTCTTCCAGCTTGTGGTTCAGTCCGACTTCTTGGAGTGTGGTTCGGACCTGGACTCCAGCTGGAGAAGAACTGATCAGAAATACAGGCAAAGGTCGGAGCATTGTTCCAGACTTGAATCCGAAGTAAGTTTTCCTTAAATGCTAGGGCTGAGACGTGTGACACTTACGTCTTGCCCAGTATCCTTTACCGCTGGGCTCTACATCCTCTTTGTGAAACTCATATGGAGACGATTGAGCGTTTGTACCCAATCATTTGTTGGTGTGGTCGCAAATATTGCGTCTGTAAAGAAGCCTGTTATCAGCGTCGGTGTCATGGGAGGCTATGATTGGCAGACCTGGCGAGCCATCGGCATGCATGAAGGTTGACTTTCCTATTCCGCGTTTTGACGGAAGGCTAAAATTTGGAACACAGTTTTAGGAACGCCTTCCGTTGCCTTACCATCACATCGCCCATTTCTTGCGGTAAGTGCCATCGCGGTTATTGAGTTTCCTCAACGAGTGTCGGTCGGCACTGAGAGCCATTCCTCGGTCCAGTGACCTTTCTCAGCATCGGATATTATTTTATCATGAATTAGTGGAGGGGGTGGGGAGGATCCTTTGTGGGACCAGCTCGCCTTTTCGGCATCATAGTCCCGCTCCTTGTGGTCTTCTTTTAGCTCAGAGTTTTCGCTTAGCCGGCGATTGATTCGGAACGTGCTACCTCTCAATAACGTACTCTTCAGATGGGGCCAGGCAGATTTGCTAGACTGTCATCGGAGTGATCTTGGTTTAGAGGAAAGGGCTGTGAACGCCTTTTACTATTGTCCTCAGGTGCGCCTCTTCTGGGCGTATGTCGGCGAGTTAACAGCTCATATC